CAGGAATTCTCACCACGAACCTTTCCTGCAATAACCTGGTTTTTCATCTCCAAGCCTGATCTCCCTCCTCACCAGAACCGACCCGCTCTCCCACCGCTCACCTTCCTTGGATTTTGGATTCATGCTGAAGTTGCTCACCCCAGTCCTGGCTACCCTCCCAAGCTCTGGATCTCAGCCCCACAGTAAGATCCACTACAAACTAAATCCTGCAAGATTCTATTCCTCGCTGCCCAACACTGACAGTGTTTGTTCCAACAGACCCAGCCCGGAGCTCTGCTCAGCCTCACCACCACGTCTGGCGGTGCACCTTTAGTTCTACTTAAAATAAACCATTTATTTTTCCTACCACGTCTCCTAGTGTGAATTCTGCATGTCTTGGGTCAGGAAACTTCCCTCGGTCATGACAGAATCTTCCGGCCCAACTCCTGACTCTGCAGAATCTTCTTCTCCAACCGTCTCCGACATGCTGGCTCTCCATGACCGGTCCATACAGGCGCTTGTGGAGCAGACTTCGGCCTCCAACCAGCACCTCCTGCGAATGGATGCCCTCCTCCAGAATCTCCACAGCCGCCTCCCACTAGCCCCGGAACCAGCAGTCCCGGATCCTGTAGTTCCACCCGGAGCAGTTTCTCAGGAACTCCCGGCTCTCAAGCATTTCCGGCTTGCCTCCTCACCGCCTGTTGTCACTTTTGAGGGAGAGTCCTCTGAATGCCAGAGTTTTTTGCTTCAGTGTAATTTAGCGTTTGGACGCTCACCGTACTCTTTTAGCTCAGACACTGCTCGAATTTCGTATGTGATTGGATTGCTCTGCGGACGAGCTCTCAGGTGGGCTGAGGCTAGGAGTCATGAGGAAGCTTTTTTAACCGGTCCCTTTTCTGAGTTTGTGAAGGAATTTAAATTAACGTTTGGATGTGAGGAATCACCGGGTGACGTGGCACGCAAATTGCTGCACTTGGCCCAAGGACGGAGATCGGTAGCGGATTTCGCCATTGATTTTCGGACCATTGCTGCTTCCACGAAATGGAATGAAGAGGCACTTAAGGGGGTCTTCACGAAAGCCTTATCGGAAAGGATTAAGGACCAGCTAGCTTTTTGTACTGAGCCTGCCACTCTTAATGAGTTGATCAATTTGGAGATCCGCATCGACAAGAGGCACCGGGAGAGACAATCAGGTACACATTCCTCACACACTAACCTGTCTCCTCAGCACCCGTCGCTACCTAAGAGCCAAGGCCTAATGGAGGAACCCATGGAACTAGGTCGGACACATCTGGACCCAGAGGAGAAGCAGCTACGCCGCAGGTCTGGTCTTTTTTTATATTGTGGTCTCGCAGGTCATTATGTCTCCAAGTGCCCTTCGTTAAAAGACAAGGCCCGTCATTAGAAACGAGAGTGATGGGCAGTGTGACCAGTGGAACCTCTCGTAGCATCATTCCCTGTACCTTAGTTTCCAGGTTTCACACACTCGACTGCCATGCGCTGTTAGATTCTGGCTGTGAGCAGTCCCTTATGGATACAGAGCTGGTTAAACAGCTGGGGCTTTCCACCGTCACCTTGTCTTCTCCTCTAGCTGTCTCTTCGCTAGATGGGAATTCACTCACTACCATAACACATCGCACCACACCCATCATTCTCAGAATATCCGGTAATCACACTGAGGAACTCTCGTTTTTTGTTTTTCCATCCCAAAACGCTCCGATAGTCCTTGGGCATTCCTGGCTCTCTGTTCATAACCCCCACATCAACTGGCAGACCAACTGCATAGAGACCTGGAGCCCCCATTGTTCCGCATCATGCCTCAGTTCCGCACTTCCTTTCCCCAGTGGTGACCGCTCCCCTCCGTCTGAGCCCCCAGACCTGTCTGGAGTCCCTGAGTGTTTCATGACCTTAAAAATGTTTTCAGTAAGGATCATGCAGCCTCCCTTCCGCCTCACCGACCTTTTGACTGCAGCATACATTTACTCCCTGGAGCACCTCTCCCTTCTAGTCGCCTTTACAGCCTCTCCAAACCTGAGAGGGAGAGCATGCAGAAATATATTACTGAGTTTGGCGGCTGGATTGATTCGACCTTCAACCTCTCCTTTGGGTGCGGGGTTCTTCTTTGTCCCCAAGAAGGATGGTACCTTGCGACCCTGTATTGACTACCGCGGACTCAATAACATCTCAGTCAAAAACAAGTATGCTCTGCCCCTCCTCTCATCCACTTTTGAACCGGCACAGGGAGCAACAATTTTTACTAAACTGGATCTAAGAAACGCTTACCACCTGGTCAGGATAAAGGAGGGTGACGAGTGGAAGACCGCCTTTAAGACCCCCCTTGGCCATTACGAGTACTTAGTAATGCCATTTGGTTTGACTAACGCTCCTGCTGTGTTCCAGACTCTAATCAATTCAGTGCTTGGGGATTTCATTAACCGCTTTGTTTCTGTCTACTTAGATGACATCCTGATTTTTTTCTAAGGATCCTGTGGAACACGAGGAGCATGTGAGGGCGGTACTTCAGCGCCTTCTCCAGAACAGGTTGTTTGTCAAAGCAGAGAAGTGCGAGTTTCATGTGCATTCAGTCAAGTTTTTGGGTTTCATCCTGGAGAGTGGGCGGTTAAAGGCTAACCCTGAGAAGACCCAGGCCATTCTGGACTGGCCCACTCCCACCTCCAGAAAACAGTTGCAACGTTTCCTGGGCTTCGCTAACTTTTATCGACGTTTTATTCGAGGGTACAGTCAGGTAGCGGCCCCTCTCACCAGCTTGACTTCCATTTCCAGATCCTTTGTTTGGACACACCAGGCCCGGGCTGCCTTTGACCAGCTCAAACACCGGTTCACCCAGGCCCCTGTCCTGACCCGACCGGACGACACCCGACAGTTCACTTTGGAGGTCGACGCCGGAGTCGGAGCTGTACTGTCCCAGGTGAACCCAAACAATAATGCTCTCCACCCCTGTGCTTTCTTCTCCGTTCTCAGTGGCCTAGTGGCCCTGAGATCGGGAGATCACGGGTTCGACTCCTGGTCGGGTCATACCAAAGACTTTGAAAAAATGGGACCCAATGCCTCCCTGCTTGACACTCAGCATTAAGGGGTTGGATTGGGGGGTTAAACCACCAAATAGTTCCCGAGCGCGGCTTGTCTGCAGCTCACCGCTCCCCCAGGGGATGGGTCAAATGCGGAGAATAAATTTCACCACACACCTGTGTGTGTGTGTGTGTGACGACTAAATGGGACTTTTTTTCTTTTCCCGGCGTTTGTCCCCTGCTGAGAGGAACTATGATGTTGGAGACCGGGAACTCCTCGCTGTAAAGCTCGCCTTGGAAGAGTGGAGGCATTGGCTGGAGGGGGCGGAATTGCGGTGGTTATCTGGACGGACCATAAGAATTTGGCGTATATCAAGGATGCCAAGAGACTCAACCCCCGACAGTATCGTTGGTCCCTGTTCTTTTCCCGTTTTAACTTTATTATTTCCTACAGACCAGGATCTAAGAACGTCAAACCTGACGCCCTCTCCCGGCAGTTTTCCCCTGACTATGACCTGGAGCCAGCCACCATCATCCCTCCCTCCTGCGTCGTGGGATCCCTAACCTGGGACATCCGAACCAAGGTTCTCCAAGCCCTTAAGACTGACCCAGGCCCAGGTAACACACCTCGTGACCTACTTTTTGTTCCCAGCCGAGTCCGAGGCCCCGTCATCCACTGGGCTCACACTGGGCGTTTTTCTATGCACCCCGGGGTGGGACGTACTGTGGCCCTCATTCGGCGCACGTTCTGGTGGCCGTCCCTTTACAAGGACGTCAAGGACTATATAGCTGCCTGCCATGTCTGTGCCAGGGGTAAGGGTACCAACCAGCTACCTGCCGGTCTTCTACAACCTCTTCCCATCCCCTCACGACCTTGGTCCCATATTGCCCTGGATTTTGTTACTGGTCTTCCCCCTTCTCATGGTTTTTCTGTAATTCTGTCCATTGTAGATCGTTTTTCCAAGGCCTGCCACCTTGTTCCCCTGAAGTCACTCCCTTCCTCCTCGGTTACTGCCCAACTGTTGATTTAACATGTATTCCGCCTTCACGGCATCCCTCAGGACATCCTATCGGACCGGGGTCCCCAGTTCATCTCACAGTTGTGGAAGGAGTTCGCCGCCGCCCTGGGGGCCAAGGTCTCTCTCACGTCAGGGTTTCACCCCCAGTCTAATGGGCAATGTGAGCGGCTGAACCAGGAGCTGGAAGCCACCCTGCATTGTGTTTGTGCCACTAACCCCTCTAGCTGGAGTGCTCAGCTTCCCTGGGTGTAATATGCGCACAACAGTCATGTCTCCTCATCCACCGGCAGATCCCCCTTTGAGACGTCACTGGGGTTCCAGCCTCCCCTGTTTCCCTCGGACCAAGTAAGTGCCGCCTCTTCGGTTCCTCAGTTTCTCCGTGGGCTCGGCGTATGTGGACACAGACCGTCGTGGCCCTGGGACGTACGGCCGAGCGCAACAAGAGAGTTGCTGACCGGCACAGACGTCCTGCTCCTCAGTACGTTCCTGAACAACGAGTGTGGCTGTCCGCCAGGGACATATGCCTGAGAGCCTCCAATCGAAAGCTCTCTCCTCGTTTCATTGGTCCCTACACCATTGCTGCAGTCCCTAGCCCCTCCACTGTTCGTTTAACCCTTCCTTCCTCCCTTAGGATCCACCCTGTGTTTCATGTGTCCCTCGTCAAGCCTGTTTTGTCTAGCCCCCTGTGTCCCTCTCCTGTTCCTCCTCCTCCTCCTCCTCGTTTTTTTGAAGGTGGCCTGGTTTATCCTGTCCGGCGGCTCCTCGACGTTCGTCGCCGGGGCCGGCAATACCTCGTTGACTGGGAGGGTTTTGGTCCCGAGGACAGGTCATGGGTCCCTGGGTCGTTCATTACGGACCCTTCTCTCATCGCTGACTTTGAGGCCTCCAGGGCCTCGTCTTCTTCACCCTCCTCCTCCTCTGCAAGGCCGCCAGGGGGCGTCCGTTGAGGGGGGGGGGGGGGGGTACTGTCAGGATCTGGGGTGAGTCTGCACATTCCTCTAATCACCTTAAGTCATTGCAGGTGGGCGGCTCTGGAGAGCGGCCAGCTGCAGTGAGTTTCCCTCATCGGCTACATGGGTTTATAAGGAGCTGGAGATCACTTCACCTCGCCGGAAGATTACTCACCTTGGGTAGCTCTTGCCATTATAGTAAACTACAGTTTAGTCTTGCCTGATATTTGTCTGTTGCTGTTTTTTTTTGATGACCTCTGCCTTCCCTTCATCAGGAATTCTCACCACGAACCTTTCCTGCAATAACCTGGTTTTTCATCTCCAAGCCTGATCTCCCTCCTCACCAGAACCGACCCGCTCTCCCACCGCTCACCTTCCTTGGATTTTGGATTCATGCTGAAGTTGCTCACCCCAGTCCTGGCTACCCTCCCAAGCTCTGGATCTCAGCCCCACAGTAAGATCCACTACAAACTAAATCCTGCAAGATTCTATTCCTCGCTGTCCAACACTGACAGTGTTTGTTCCAACAGACCCAGCCCGGAGCTCTGCTCAGCCTCACCGCCACGTCTGGCGGTGCACCTTTAGTTCTACTTAAAATAAAACATTTATTTTTCCTACCACGTCTCCTAGTGTGAATTCTGCATGTCTTGGGTCAGGAAACTTCCCTCGGTCATGACAGAATCAGAAATGTTTTATTGTCCCAAAAACTGGGAAATATGACATTTGTAAGTGGATACTGATGACATTATTTCCTATGAAAGTGTTTCCTATGTACTTATCTGTTTTATTTATCTACTTTAAAGAGGATTAAGACTTTCCTTGAGGAACACCATGACACAGGATGGGCTGAATGCTCTTGCCATGCTCTCCATGGAAAAAAAAAGCTTGTCACAAACATTCCTGACTTCAATAAAAAGCTAATCGAGAGCTTTGCCACTCAGAAGGACAGAAGGGCAAAATTTCTGTACAAATGAGGTATCACACACACACACAAATGCATCCACTTGATCTTTGTATAAAGTTGACCTTGGCACAACACTCCAGAAATATTTAACAGTGTAAATTTCTGGCATTTTGTCTAAGTAGTGTTTACTACCATTACTGTAACAGTGACCTGCTCATAATTTTTCGTGTTCACTCAAATGTTGAAATTATTCAAAATGTTTTTGTTACTTGCCTCTTGCATTGCCTATTTACCATTTATGGTCATGTTATTTTATGTGCAATTTAATGCAGTATTTTTCAACCTTGGTCTGCAAGGCAGCGTGCCAATAGTCAGACACACCTGGATTAATCAGTTTGTCCAATGATGTAAGACAGGAAATAAAAGAGCTGTGCTTAATTCAGGAAATAGTGAAGTTGTGCACAAAGCTCAGAACGCACAAGTTTGTTTAAAAAAAATAGCACAGCCCCACCAAAAATATTTTTCACCAGCCGCCACTGGTTAATCCGGTGTTGTCTGAGTTGGCGCGAGGGGAAACGTTGAGCTTCCACTAATTCATTAATAGAGTGGAAACGGCTGAACTCACGCCGTGTTTGCGTGGTTCTTTCTCTATTCCCCATATAAATTTAAACAGATTACAGTCTGAGTTTTTACCTGTAAAAGGGGAATAGAGAAAGAACCACGCAAACACGGTGTGAGTTCAGCCGTTTCCACTCTATTAATGACTGAGTAGAAGCTCAACGTTTCCCCTCGCGCCAACTCAGACCTGACTAGTCAATGCCAAACCAGCTAAAAAGGTTTAATAACAAACTCTAGAATAGCAATTGGTCTCTCCAAAAAATAGATAAAACTGTAAACATAAAAGATAATACTTAGGCAAATACATCAGAAGCACTTTTAGAAGCAATATATATAATATTTTTAACTTATTGTCTACAACCTCCACAAATACACTATGTAAATGCCTGATTCAGCTTTTACAACCGTTGGTCTAGATAATTTTGGTGTTTTAGGCGAGTTTGTCCAGATAAACACTTACCGACGGGAACTTGCTCTTCTATTTCCTCCTCTCTAATATGTTTAAGGAAATAAAGCCATGAAAAACAGTCCACGTCGGAGACGCCGTTTAAAAACCGGAGTATCGTCTCTTCTGCGCCATTGTCCCGACTCAGGAGTTCGTCGAAAGATTCTGTTAAACCAAAAGAAACTACCATCTTTCGGATCCACTCCACGCGAAGATCATCGTGGATCCCCATTTCTTTAATATTTTTATCGAGCTCGAATCGTGTAGTGGTTGAAACCGTTCAAACCACTTACAGCCGCTGGTGCTGGTAGCGATGTCCCGTTACCCTGACAACGGTCTTGTAGATTAAAAGGGACGGGGGTGGGGGTGGGGGTGGGGTGGGGGGCAGTGACTGGAATGTCTCTATAGGCGTCATTTTAACCGGGGACACCGGGGACATGTCCCCGGCAAAATTTGTAATTGGCAGCTGTGTCCCCCCCACTTTCAAAAAAGCCTGCTGATGAGGATTTTTGTTTTACCAGCTCAGATCTTTTACCAGGGGTCGGCAACCTGTTCCCATCAAAGAGCCATTATTACCCATTTCCCACAGTAAAGAAAACACCGCAGCAGTCGCATCGTTGTGGGCGGGGCCTCGCCTCAGACAGCAGAGAGCTGCTCACAACCAGGTGACAGCAGCCGGTACCATGGGCGTTGCACCCGTGGGGGATTCAACACCCACACTTTTCCAGCTGTTTTGCTCACCTCCACACCAGTCTGGTTTCTTTACGTCACACTCACTCTGTTTGCCTCATCTCCTTCTTCACCTCCGCTTCTGACAGCCGATGTCGGGTTTCCAGGAGAGCAGGAGAGGGAGGGACGGAAGAGCTCGACTGAATTCATAATTTTACATCTTGACATTAGCTGTACAAAGTCTGAGTTTGATAAAGTGAAGAACAACCATTTGCAGAGGTTTATAATAGGCGCGGCGCCAGGTTTTCATTTTTGGGTGGGCCAAGGTAATTTTGGACGGACCTTAATAAGCAGTGACTTAGTGAAGCAGGCAGGTCGCGCTAGGAAATTTAGTTTAATAAGACGTCATAAATGTGTTTCCCCCTCATTTTTATTTATAAAATATGAAGTAAAAACTCCCAATTTAATTTTCATTCATTTCTCATTAATATGTAGTCTACACCCGTGCGTTAAGTGGACCAACTTCCAGTAAACGCAAAGCATCCAGCCCACCTCTCCAAATGCTTAAAATGTGCATCAGCCGCTAGTTAGGCGTGCCGCTCGCACCGTCAGCTATCGGCCCAGACGAGAGCAGAGCAACTAGAGAAAGAATAGAGGATAATTGTGTCTGGATGTGGATGGAGATTACATTTTACAGCAGCCTGATCATCATTTAAATACATAAACCATCACCTGTCTTCTAGTCCATGCTATCAGCATTATTTTATCTGGTGTGTGTGTGTGTGTGTGTGTGTGTGTGTTCCACTTCAAACACTGGTCTAACCAACCAGACCTGCGTGTCCAGTAACATATTAATGTTACAATTAAACAGTTTCACTTCATGTAGGCTAGGAACGTTTCACCTGCCGTGGCCCGACCGCTTCTGCTCCACATAAACTTTGTGCGTGATCAAATGTCTCTACAGGTGCTTTCTGAGCTGAAGAGGCGACTGGATGCGTCATGCGTCTCCATATTGGAGACGGGATCAAGCGCTGTTCAGCCAAACTTTCATAATTTCATAAAAATAACATTTTTCCAAGTGACACATCCCTCAGAGAGACCGGGTTTCCAGACCGCTTCAGTGGGAGGAAATCAACGAACATCCTTGAGTTTATCCGTCAAAATAAAAGTCTAATATAAATATCTGTAACCTGCCATTTAACTGTTTTGCCTTCCTGTGAAGATTGTTGCAAAGAGAAACAACTAAACTTGATTAACCCCAGAGCCACGCGCACTGCGCTGTACGTCGTGACTGTAAATGAGGGGAAATGATTTAATCGGATCCTTTTCTTTTCAACATGGTTTAATGTAAAGTTTCATTCAGTACAAACTTTAGTTATACCAATATAACGAGACAGAGCCTGGATTTGGATTCTGAACAGTTTAAACATGTTTAAAACGGAGACATGCGTGACGCATCTAAAATTCGCACCTACTCCGCTATTATAGAAATTAAACTAACAAGATGAATAGCATGAACTTATTTTAGGCACAGACAATATCTGCCACACTTTTGAAAAGTTTGCAACGCGCCTGGTCGCTCGTGTACGTCAAAGTTATCTTTCGTAAGAAGATAACCAATAAAACGATTTATATAAAGATGATCCAGAAGTTGTAGCCCCTCTCTGCCGACAATATTTTGATATTTTTCACCCTGTTGGTGGTTTTACTGAGCAGGTGCCACTTTTGTCACGCGATTCTTTTAAAAACATGTTTAGACTGTTCAGAATACAAATCCAGGCTCTCAGAACCAGAGCGCATGCGGGAAGGTTCCTCCCACTGAAGCGAGTGTTTTCCAAACCCGGTCTCTCAGAGAGACTTGTCACTTAGAAAATGTTCCTTGATTATGAAACTTTGGCTGAATAGCGCTTGTTCCTGTCTCCAATGTGGCGACGCATCCAGGAACCTGTCTGAGGAGAAGCCCAGAATCTGACATCCTTCAGCTCAGGAAGCGCATATGATTACGCACAAGCGTGACGCGTCAACCCGGTCTCACAGTAAGACCGGGTTGGACCTGTTCAGGTTTACGCAGACAATCTTTACAATTAGAATTGGCATACAGATGTAAAATTAATGCAGTAAAATATAAAGCATTTTATTTAAATATCCATTCATTATTTTAAAAGTACAGAGAGCCGCATCAGATGGATGGAAGAGCCGCATGCGGCTCCAGATCCGCGGATTGCCGACCCCTGTGCTAGCCTACTTTATTGTCCAGCAATTTTAAACCCCACTCAAGTGTATGGTTATTGTCCCCAGCAATTCTGAAAACAAACTGACGCCCTGACTCCACCAGACCCCAAGAGGCAAGTTTAACCGTATTCTAGGAAAATGCAAATTTATAAAAT